ATATATGGTTTGAACAATACCAGGCCAGACACTTCCCTACCTAGCCCTTTAGATAGTACACATAGCCTATCTGGATAACCCAACTACTAGGAAGAAATGTATTATGAGTTGAGTTTCATTAAAATCAGTTTTCCTTAGGGAATAATGATTCAATTATACTAAGAAACATTTATTCCAAATTGCACTTTTTAATTTGCTGACAATAAAACATTAGTCATCCATACTCTTTAAAAGTTTTGATGCAGAATGTCAAACTGATATGAGTTTTCAGTCTTATCTGTTTTCATTTTATTTTGCTAACTGAAACCAGCAATGACATGCAGAAACACTATCCTTTAGAAAATGTGAAATCTCTCTAAAACATGAATTATCCTATAAGGCTTTATATTATGCAAATGTTGAGATAGGAAGAATAAGTTTTGAACCCTTGTTGCATTGGAATGTATATTTAGAAGTATTTTAAGTGGTTAAAATACTCATGTGCTTATGATAATATTAAAATGATGATCATAATTATGCTTTAAAATGAAGATCGAATGTAAAAAGAATATGTGTATCATATTAATATTGAAATTTTTATATAGTCATATAATTTCAATTCTGATACTACAATTAGTCGAAAAAAATTGCCTCCAATAAATAATTTTCTTAATTTAATTTAAAAATTCATAAAATTTTGCCAAAAATATTAGTTTACCCACACTTCCCATCAACAAAATATGTATCATGTCTTTGGACATGAAGCTTTCTGTGGTTGAGGTGGAGTCCAGGTTTGGGTTAGTAATATTGTTGAATTATAGCTGAATACATCTTACTTCACAAAGAATCTTAGGGTTTTTCTGTTTTTATAAACATCTCTAAAAATAATATGCAAAATTAAACCTGGATCAAGAAATTTATATATTTGCCATATTTTATAAAGTTATAATGTTAGACTGTGAAAAGAAACAAATGAGTGCTATATGTCTGCTCACCAAAGCAACAATAATAAACCAATACATAAAATTAGAGTGAATTGACTGAGATTTCTTTCTATTCCACGCTTTATATATAGACTTTAAATTCCACATTATCCTTTTTAAAAACACAAATGATCCCCTTAGTTTTAAATTGAAAAATACAACTTCTTTAAATTTATGATCTAGAGCTTGCCTTTTTTTAATGGAGTAAAATAGTTTTTTTTTTTTTGATAGAGGATTACAAAAAGCAAGGAATATCTCTGAAAAACCAAACAAAGAAGTATACCTTATAAAAATAAGACAGGCAAAACTTTGAAATTTTGTTACACATATGATCGTTGTATAGTTATTAAATCAAATTAATTAATGTATAATTTCAGTTATTTTTAAACTGAATAGTAATACTTAATCATTCTAAAGTTGAAGATCTACACCACTTGGATATCAAATACCAACTAGTTTCCCATAAAGGTACACATGCATGTAAAATTATACAGATTGAGCAGGTTATATTTATGTTTCAGATGATATAGATGTATATAAATATATAAGAATATTAAAGTAAAAGAGGTCATAATTTGAACAAAAGCAAGAAAGTGTAAATGGAAATACATAAAGGATGGAATAAAATTCAATAAAATGTTTTATTTGTATTATTATCTCATAAAATGAAAAAAATAGATTTTATCTCCTTGTTTTCACAAGTCATTCTGCCATTTGTAGTAAAATGAAGGATCCTGGAAGTCGTTAGGTCAATTGACAAAAGGCAGCTACTCAAAGACAAGTGAAGGATGACCACAGTATGACGAAGAACCAAAAAAGCCTTGTAAAACAGCAGAGATAAGTCCTTGTGACCTATTGTGCAGCAGTGACCATTAGAAATAGTAATTTAACACATGATTAGAAATGGGCTCTTCAGAGCACTATTTATAGTGTCCTGTTCAGATGTAGTAGATTTGATTACTGGTATTCTCAAGTCACAAAATTTCAAGAAATTCTTAATTGCTACATGACCCTTGAGAAAATACGTATTTCTTACAGTGAGTTTAAATTTCTTCATTTGTCTGATTGATAGGTACTTTTGGTTTATTCACTTATATCAGATAGAGATAATAATCCATTTTAACAAGTTCTAGTGAAATATCAAACTGCACAATAAAAAGAACCCAAAACAAATTCTATTTAGTTTTAAGCATAAACATGTTTTAGAAAATATAACAATATGGAGAAACTAGTTTATAACTACCTCTTTAACAAATTCATGGTGTTCCTTTTACAAATAAAAGTTTTTACCATCCAATATTACTTACCAACTATTACCATAATGCATACCAGGATAGCAATTATTACTTCAGTTTTGAATCTCATGATTAGAAGTCCCTTTTTAGTGCACATCTCTGTGCTTGCACTTTCTCCACAGTCACAGACTTGTATAGTGAGGGTGTTTGTGCTTGTAAGAGATGGGATTCCATTATCAGAAATTAAGATGATCATGGAGAGGACAGGCTCTTCTTTAAGGCTAAAACCCATTCTATTAGTCAGAATTACAGCTGTATTATCTAAAACAGAAATTCAAGTTCACAATTTTTTCAACAATATAAACCACATGTGAACAATGTAAGTACTAGGGGCAAAAACATTTCAATAAAATAATATCTATCTAAATAAAAAATATTATATTAAAATATCCAGCCCCATATCATTTTAAAATATTCTAAAAATTAATTACATAATAAAAAGACTTATTTGAACCAGATTTAAAAGGTTTTGAGAAATATAAATGATCAGTGCATAGAGAAAATAATGTTTCTGTATACTGATTTCAGTACTGGAAGGGCTATTCAGCAATAAATTAAAGCTTTATTTTCACAGTGTCCAGCACAACTTAAAAACAAAATAATTACAAAATTACTAGATATGTGTAAGATATTCAGTAACCTAACTACTACAGCTTGTGCCTTTAAATAATATACATTCTAGTTAGAAAAGGGCATAATTCTATTTTGGAGAGAAATTTGATTAGAATATTCTTTTACTTTGACATTACCAAATTATATTTCATATAAAATTCCACACATATGTGCACTACTTGTAACTAAATTAATTAATCAAAATGATAATATGGCAAAAATCAGGGAATTGTTCCACAAATACTTGAAAGAATAAGTGAAAAAGAATCATGAGTACTTCAATTTATGTGAATCTTGTTTCTAAATCTTAAATAATTAGAATTATATTTTCACCATTTTCGTCTCTCAAACTTTTATGAGGAGAAAAAGTACTCCCACTCAGGGAATTCCTCAATTAGCCTCAACTATGGGAATGTCTGTGAGATATTTTCTTGATTTCAAACACACGTAGGAGGGCCCAGACTTTAATGCCACACGCAGAGGAATGGGCCTAGACTTTTATAAAAAAAAAAAAAAAAAAAAAAAAGAAAGAAAAAAAAAAAAAAAAAAAATCAAACAAAAAATAAGAAAAGGAGAGTTCCACAAGGCAGAGAAAAACATGACAGTATGCCTCTGTGGTTTCTGCTTCAAGTTCTTACTTCTAGCAAATGAATTGTAAGGTAAATAAATCATTCCCTTACCAAGTTGGTTTTAGCTAGTGTTTGACAACAGCAACAGAAACAAACCAGAGCACATTTCCATTACTATAAATGATATTTGTATCCACAAAATCAATTTGAGAGGCATGAGACATCAACATTGATTTCATTCCAAGTCTCTTCCTAAGCCATACATTTTCAGTAAAAGAAAAATTTAAATATATATGTATATGATGGGCAAAACGTTTTTCAGATTAGTGGAAAAGCTGAACAAAATAATTTTAGGGACCCCATTCACTCCCTGATCATTCAGCAGGGGCTGCTCCCCTCTACTGGGGCCTCTCTCTCCCTAACCCATCCCAGGTTGCACCAAGGAACCTCCTCCCTTCTTCCTCCATTCTGTGGGGCCATG